GTATTTTGGGAGGCTGAGGGGGGCGGATCACGAGATCAAGAGACTGAGACCATCCTGGCCAACATGGTGAAACCCTGTCTCTACTAAAAATACAAAAAAATTAGCTGGGTGTGGTGGTATGTGCCTGTAGTCCCAACTACTTGGGAGGCTAAGGCACGAGAATCGCTTAAACCCAGGAGGCAGAGGTTGCAGTGAGCCAAGATTGCGCCAGTGCACTCCAGCCTGGCGACAGAGTGAAACTCTGTCTCAAAACAAAACCAAAAACAAAACACTGTTGACTGTAAAAAGCTGACAAAAATGCCAATTTGCTAACCTCAGTACTGGATTAAAAGTGTATGTGTGCAGGGCCCCGCCCCTTGTCTGTCTTTTCATAAGTTTCACCCGGAGTCTAGTCCAGCACCTGCATGTTGAAAAGCAGTTGGCAAATATTTGTTGAATGCTATTCAGTTGTGGTGGGTGGAATAAAAACTGGGTTTTCAATAGGGAATGACAGTTTGATAAGCTTTCCTAAGAATTTAGAATCTGGTCAGTGGGAATACCTGTGTCTCTTCTTTAAAAGCTTCAGATATACAGGCCAGGTTCCTGATCAGAAAGATGGAGAGTATTAATTCATTTATGAAAAGGCAACACGGAACTTAAAAACAGAATCTTTAAAACAAAAGTCAGCTTTCCTTATTCAGAAACTTCTTGTAGAGAGAAATAAAGCATTTTCAGTGTGGTGTTGCAGATGAAGAATGAATATGGGAGATTTGGGAATTTAATATTTAATAATACTTAGATATGATGTTTGGAAAAATGTGACAAATAAGAAACTTTTGATAAATAAGACTCTGATGTCACCAATCAAATAATGAATGTTCTGAATACATAAGTTGAGTGATAATTTATTAGATGAACACACACAACACCAGAGATTGCATATGTAGGGGTGCTGGAGGGTATTTTGGTTTTTCTAAGGGTATTTAGATTAATCTTCTCACCTGCTTTTCTTTTGCATGGAGCTCTGTGTTATAACTGAGACATGAACAGATGGAAGAGCTGCCTACTTGTATAAAGGATTGTATTCTGAAAACTCCATTGTATTACAGAGCAGTAGGCCCCAACCACTGGGCAGGGCATGCTGATCAAAGGTTCTCGGCCAATTTCATTTCACGTTCATGGTCCACTGTTAGGTCTTTCCTGTTCACTATTCAGTAAACAGCCAGTGACGAAGCAGTACAAAAATGAAATATAAAGGCTCATGAGATATGAGTACGTTATCACAACTGAAATAGAAGCGCTCATGAGCTGGTAATCTGGCGTCAGACCTCGGTAAGAAGGTGGTGTCGAATGAGGTGACCTGTGGCCTTGGGTTCCTTATTACCCTTTTTTATTGCTAAGTCAAACATCTCAAATGCCAGGCTTAGTAGATGGAACTTTTCTGATACAACTCACTTGACCTCCCAGACCAGATAAATAACAATAGTAGCTGCTGTTTACTTACGGCACTTTGCTAAGTATTTTCCATGCAGTGTCTCCTTTGCTTTGTCCGACCACCCTTTTGTCGACCAGGAAGTTGTTGAGAGGGTGAAGTGATCATCATGTAACATAAGAACAGTATTACTAGGTCATGTGTCTCTGTGTGTACCTTGCACATACCTGTACCTACTGGCCTTTTTCCTTTACCTGTTTTCGTAGTCCAACAGCATATAACTCCTGAAGGCATGGACACATAGGGATACGCCTTTCTGTGTCCCTATGACATTTACATTGATACTACGTATATAGTGGATGCTTAAAAATGTTGGAGATTCTTTCAGTGATTTTTGTGGTTATTGAACTCTTTAGGGTGAAAATAATCCAGTCTTGCCAGACTAGAATGATCTCACCATGAACTATCAGTTCTCAATCAATAATCTGTTCGCCTGGCCTTGTGTGAGGCCCATGGTGGGTAAAAAAGAAGTAAAAGACCTGCCCTCTCTTTTGAGGATCCGGTAATCTGCCTTTAGACTTGGGTAAGGAACACCGCAACTCTGGGCCCTGTGGGTTAGAGGACTGCCTCTGACACCACTCTGGCCATGCCTCCCACCCCACTGCAAGAGTCTGGGACTGAAAGCCAAATGCACCCTCTTCAAGACCATGTTCCAGGTAATCAGGGGCTGGAATTCCCTACTCACACATCCCCCAAGACCACTTCCAGGGCCTGCACAGCTATCCTCCAGGGCCTGACACTTGGGGATGAGCAGGGCTCCGGGTACATATCTGCAGGCCTGCAGGGTGACAGCTGCTTACAGGGAAGCAGCCTGGGGCATCCACGGGGAGTGCTTGAAGCCAGCGCTGGTGTGGGATGGAGCAGGATGGCAGAGAAGGTGCTGGGTCTCCACCACATTCCAATATGGAATGGCCAGGAGCCCAGGATTCTAAATTAAAGGCTGGACCTGCAAGGTGTTTGGAAGCCACAGTTGTCCAGATACAGGAGATAACACTTTTTCGTTTAAGGGCTTATCAGATCGATGGAAACCTTTAAATGATTAGCCCTGTGGGAGGTGGGCCTCCATTGTGAACTCTTGTTCCAGACTCTACAATGTCAGGGGCAGGCCTTGCTGGGCCATCAGCTTCCCTCACCTCCGCACAGGTGAGCCAGCAGGATGCACACCTGGAAGGCCCAGGCCTTGGTGGAGGGGTTTGTGTGCCTCAAGGCTGTGGAGGAGGGGAGGGGGCCCTGCCTCTCTAAACATTCTCTGAAACTGCCAGGTTTCATTTGCATACCAGCACTTTGCTGCGCTTGGCGGCTGGGGAAGTGCTAAGCCTGTCTTTATTAACAAATACCACGTTGCCTTGTTTCCTTACTTAAAACACTTTAGAGTGTTTTTGCTAAAGTTGAGTGGCTCTACGTGTGTAAATGCATAATCAGCTGATAGCAATTTCAAAATTGCAGGTCTCACTGTTGATGGAGAAATGGGAGCGTTGTTATTCCTTGTGTGTAATTTTCACCGAGAAATGGGGGGCTGGATTTAATGTCAACACTTAGAGATTCAATGTGGCCCTATTACTGGAAAAATACACCTTTAGCCAAACCCTGCCTCAAAACAATGTCTACATTGTCTTGCTGCACCCCGTACCCCCATTTCCCATTCCTGAGAAAAAACGGGCTCAGTAGAGGGCTGCATCCTGCCCTCTGTCTCCATTTCCTGAGCACAGATGGCTCATCAGTGGAGCCTGTCTCTGCCTGGAGGGAACCCACCACCTCTGTTTCTCGAGGAACTTGGGTGGGAAGGAGTTAGTGGGGAGAACAAGAGTTGAAAAACAGGGCGGGGTCAGTTTTAGGCTCTTGTGTCCAACCCAGCAGGGAGACTGTGAGGCGCCCTTGCCCAGTTTGCCCTCACCGCCTCAAAAAGGCTTTATGGTGTGTGATTCAAATGAAAAGAAATTCAATTTGATTCTATTTTGAAAATGCAGAGTGGGGCTGGGTGCAGTGGCTAACACCTGTAATCTAGCACTTTGGGAGGCTGAGGTGGGCAGATCACAAGGTCAGGAGATGCAGACCATCCTGGCTAACACGGTGAGACCCCATCTCTATTAAAAATACAAATAATAACAATAATAATTAGCTGGGCACGGTGGCACGTGTCTGTAGTCCCAGCTACTCGGAAGGCTAAGGCAGGAGAATTGCTTGAATCAGGGAGGCGGAGGTTGCAGTGAGCCGAGATCTGTGCCATTGCACTCCAGCCTGGGCAACAAGAGCAAGACTCCGTCTCAAAAAAAAAAAAAAAGAAAAAAGAAAAAAGAAAATGCAGAGGGGATGTCAGGACTCCCTTTGAAGTGGATAATTGGTACTACAAAGCGGGGTTCATGAAAACCAAGGTGGTTAATCTTTGGGGACTAGTGAGAAAACCAAGATTTATTGAAAAAGTGGATTTGGCCACATGTTTCTTCTAGCTATTAGTAATTTGTCCCTCAAATCATGCTAGTAAGTTAAGAATCTGCTTTTAACTTCTTCCCGCTGAACTGCCTGGCAGGCGCCCCCTTCTTCTCTGGGGAGTGATGATTTGGATGTGCACACTCATTACAACCAGGTTTCATGGGTTTTGCTCTGAGCCACTCCATTACACTCCTCCTGCCAACACTAACCATAAATGAAATTGGTAAACACTTTCAAGCCTTCTTCATAACGTGGCTCTTCTGAGGCTGGCTCCACCCTCAGCTGCATGGCTGGGCCCTCGCCCGCCTCTCTGAGGGCATGGAGTGTTCCTTCTGATGAGGAAGCAACTTTCAGAGGCCAGGATGCATCTCTAATGACTGTAAATGCATTTGCCGTCTTCTCATTAGCACAAACTGCAAGGCCTGCTGTGCACACAGAAGAAACTCAGTTCGAGGCCCAGTTCTGGCCTCAGGCTGTGGGGTAGGCAGGTGGTCTGATCAGGGCAAAGACCTGGACCAGCATGTAGGTTGCCCCACATGCCCTTGGCATAGGAAGAAAAGCCTCTGGAAAGGGTGCTATGGTTGTTTTTAATTATTTCTCGGCTTTCCATGAAGAGAGGTGGAGGCCCAGATGGTACTTCCAGAGCCGAGGAGCAGAACCCGGCCCAGAGGAGCTAGGCCAGCCATGGTTTGGTCTTGAAGAGAATGAAAGCCCACCCATGTTCACAGAGTGCCGAGCCCTGGGGCGTTCAGGCCACACCTGCAGCCGGTGCCTTGGGTGAGGCTAAGGGCCTCACAAGTGCAGGCACACATGCCCAGACGCCTGCTGGACTCTGAGAGGGCTGGCTGCTGCCCAGCTACCCAGACCCTCCATGTCCTTCCATGCCCTCAGCCCCAACTCTCTTCCTGGGAGTTGCGGAGGGCAGGGAGTGCACAGTTCACTCCAGAACCTTCCTAAGACCCAGAGCTGTAGCAGGGAGGGTGTGAACACCAGTTTCTGAGACCTTTTCAGCCAAGCAGCAGTTCTCGCTCCACACCCTTGGGGGCCCTGAGCAGGGAGGCCTGCGTGTGCTTGCCTAACATTACCCTGTGCTTTGCAGACAGACTGTGCCCTATGGACTGTCCAACTACAGAGGAAGCTTCCGGGGCAAGAGGTCTGCGGGGCTGCTTCCAGGGAACCTGCAGCTTTCGCATCGACCACACTCGCGCTGCGCTTGTGTGGGGAGATATGACAAGGCCTGCCTGCACTTTTGCACCCAAACTCTGGACGTCAGCAGGTATGACCCTCCTCCAGTTTCACTCATTTGCAGATAGGCATCAACCCTTGGCAGGGCCAGGCCAGGGGCTTCTCAAAGGAGGGTCTAGGATGGTTCAGTCATATCCTGACCCACTGTCATCTTGTGGGCCAGAGAAAGGAGGTGCTGAGCCCAGAAAAGACCCAGGTCCTCAGCATCAGGAGGGCAGGAGATACAGCGTGCCCACCTGCTTGCTGCCCTTTGGAAAGAGGCTTCACAGTGGCCATAGCTGCATCTGGTTTCCAGACATGTTTTTCTGGCCTGTACAGCAGTTTGTGAAAATCTGAATAAGTTGCCACACTTAAAAGGTTGAAGAATTAACCCCTGCCAAATGCATGTTTTTAGTCTTCTCGAAAATAGCCCATAAAAGTGCAAAAGGCTTGTTGGGGAAAACAACACCAAAAACAAAAACCCAGCACGTAGGACCATCTGGTCTCAGAGACTCTCTCCTCTTTGGCCGCTCTCAGCTGGAACTGAGCGGGGGCATCTCATGTTTGAGTAGGACGTGCAATATCCATTTACCTGTGTCACTAATTTATCTTACTTTGTAGCCCCTGGGGGCCCCCAAGTTTGAGACCCTGTGGTCTGTCCTGGCTGCTTTAGGGAAGCTTGTAGATCACGTTGAATGGGACCAACAGGCAGACTCCATGTTTGACCCAGGGGCTTTGAGCTGTTATTCACTTAACAGGTATTCCTGTTAATACTCCTTACTCCTCTTTTTCTTAACTTTGGGCCAAGATTCATGAAGCCGGTCAGGCAGATCAGCCCTTTCAAAACCCTTCCTGGAGCAGGTGTAGGTGAGCTGCCCGGATGCACACAAAAGAGACGTAGGCAGGGGTGAGCTCCCAACACCCCAACAAGGCAGACGGTAGCGCTCAGGACCCCACGATCTGCCATCTGCAAAACCCAGTGTGAACTGCATGGTTTTTCCCTCCTTCTGGGCGTTTAAACATCCAATGAATAACTGAGTGGTGAGTATATTCTGTACTTTGGTAGAAATCCACCCACCGAGCGCTCAGCCTTCAGAAACTGTGCCTGAGACGCGGTCCTTGGGGAACGCACTAATGTGCTCACTGGTGGGGAAGAGGCAGTCATAATTTGACACCGAAAAACCAGCCACAGGGAAAGGCAGGTTGATTCACTAAAACCAGCTCTCTCCCCACAGCAATTCAAGGACGGCAGAAAAAACAGACAAAGAAGAGGAAGGGAAGGTGAGAGGTGCCAACAGAGGCCTGTGTCAAAGGAGGTGAAGATGCGATGTGTCATTCCTTCGGGGGTGGGTGGATGGTGTTTTGAGGGGATGGCATCTGGTCTGGCCCAGTGGGAACCCCAGATCTCATGGGATGCTACACCCACAGGCAGTGGTGTCTTTGGTGGACCGTTTCTGGGGGCAGAGCAGGCTGAAGCTGTGGACAGCTGCTGTCACTTACCTGGCCCTGGCCACCCTGCTCTGTGTCCTAGGAGCCAGCCCTTGCATCCCTTGTGGCTCTGGGCAGTGATGTCCTGCCTGGATTTCACTGGCCTGGACAAAGCTAGCCAACCACCACTCTCAGAGGCCCCGCAGGCTGCCCTGCCTAGGCCCACACTTTGCCTCTGCTTCCTTAGCAACATGTGCTCTTTCTCCCCAAAAAATCATTTCTTCTTTTCAGCAGCTGATTCCGGGTCGAGGTGAATGACAGCAGCTTGACAGCAGGGTCCCTTGGTTCTCCAGTTCATTTTATTATTTTTTTAACCCACTTGTCTTTTTTGTATGAGAGATCCTGATGTTCCTGTAGTCAAACTGGGCTTATTTGTCGTTCTATCAATCAGAAGTCGTTATTAATGACTCAGCAGCACATCTGCAACGGGATGGTAATTTATGTTCATAATAATAGCCTGGAGGTGGCTTGGGTTTCTACAGAGACTGATCAAGGGAAGATGAAACCATGCTCAGTATACAGGAGGCTTTCCAAATTGGTGGCAGATCGCTTCTAGTCTAGTCCAGAGAGGGATCTGTCAGCATCCATAATAAAAATGGAGCGGGAGGAGGAGGGCCGAGGCGGAAGAGACAGAGCCCGGGAGAGCATGAGTCAGACCCAGATGGTCCCACTTTGCCTCTTCATTCTTTTTCCTCTTTTTCTCTTCCTCACCCCAAACCAAAGCTCCTCTCAGTGAGGGCGGGATGTAATTAAACCCATCCATCCATTGCATCATTTATTCATTCACTTATGCATTCGTTCAGCAAAGACTTGTTGGGCACCTGCTGTGGGCTGGGCACGGTTCTCGATGTTGGGGACACAGCAGGAACAAGGTTATGGAGCTTAACTAGTGGGGGATGCAGACAGCAAACATGTACAATATAAAGTGAGATTGCAAAGAATAACAAAAGACACGGCAGGGGTAGGAAGCGTGGGGTGATTGCAGCTTGAGATTGGGTTGACGCGGCCTCCTCTTTCTGACCAGGTGACCTGAAGGAAGGCTGGGAGGAGCCATAGGGATGAGTGAGGGAAAGGGATTTCAGGCAGGGGAACCAGTGAGTACAAAGGCCCCAGAGTGTGCTCAGGGAACAGCCAGAAGGGAGCCCTATACAGGAGAAGCACACAGATCCTTTTGCTGTTGTGGTGATTATTACTGTTCTGTGTCACATGTTCAAAAGATGCGATTGGTGGTGCAGGTGTCCCAGCAGGGCCTGGAAAAGTGGTTCTTTCAGGTCTCTATGACTCATGTAAAGCTCTAGTAAGAAGCTTTGCTTGGGAAGAAAAAGTTTCTTATTAAGCCAATGTTCTTGCTTTCTTGCAAGATTCAAGTTAGTAATTCCCAGATTTGCATTCTCAGAGTGGAAGCTGCCACCATCCTTAGCTTGTGATAATCAAAGATGGAGCCCGGCTGCGGGAGGGCTCCCAGCAGCCTTGTCTGCTGGTGTTGTTCTTTTCACACTTTTCCAGTCTGGTGGTAGGCTCGGAAATTGCTGAGAAGCACTGGGAAGAGGGTACGTACGGTTCCAATCAGGGAGCAGCCTGGAGAGGCAGTAAGAAGACGTTCCCTTTTTCAGCTTCACAAAGTTACAGAGCTATGCTTTCATAACATACCTTTCTTTTTTTCTTTTGCCCCCTTTCCCCAAGATAGGTTGAAGTCAAGGACAGACAAAGCAAGCAGGCTTTAGACCTCCACCATCCAAAGCTCGTGCCCGGCAGTGGACTCGCCCTTGCTCCATCTACCTGCCCCCGCTGCCTCTTTGAGGAAGGAGCCCCTTAGGAGGACAGGCCTGAAGCATCCTGGTCTTGGGAGGCTTCTGTCATTGCTCACACACAGTTCAGATTTCCACCTCTTTACGGACAAGGAGTGAATTTGCCTGGGGCAGAACACCCACCCAAAGAGTCCCCACTTAATACCCCCCACTGCAAGAATGCCCAAATCCAAATGACCCCAGTTTTCCTAATGGGTAAAATGATCCCAGATGTGCCCCAGAGCATGACGCCCGCAGCTCCGGTTTCATGCAGGAAATTGTTTTTGGAGAGGTTTGGCAAGTTGGAAAGCCACTTACTGGCTTTTGACATGACTTCTCTTGGAGAATAAGTGGACTCCAAGCTAACTCTTTGCAAATGTAAACACGTGTCCATCTTGAAATAAATGCAAAATGCCCGTGCAACAGAAGCATGCGACTTTCATATCCTTGCCTAGAATAGGCTGCATGGTGTATGTCAGTGAGGGCCACGAGGCATCAGCTTTAGACACAGATCATAGCTCTACAGGAGTTTATGAATTTGAAGCTTATGGGATTTTGTCAGAGAAATTTTCATCTGTGCTTGATACCCACCAAAAGAATGTATCTCAAAAGAATGAAGGAAGAAGAAAAAAGGATCCTTGATGTTTGTGACAAGAAAAGGAGAAAGTATCTGCAATACGGAGCTTGTTCCTATTCAGTGACTGACCCTCTGTATTCTGTATAGACACCAGGACGCTACACAATGGAGTTCCCAGGCCTTGTTTGCAGGAAGCCGACTATAAAGACAGCCCCAGCTCAAGGCTATTAGGTTGAATATTTGCTTTCATGAATAAATGTGGATCTTTGGGGAATGGCTTCAAAATAAGTCATGAACACAAATTCTTTGTAAATTATGTAAATTCCTGTTTATCTATATAAATTGGCAACAACTGGGAATTGTACCGCCTGACAGTTCAAAATCTCTTTCAGCTGCTCTCTTCCCGCCGCGCTGAGCTTACCATGAGTGTGGAAATGTGGCCCTGCCATGTAAAGTCGCCTGTGCAGGGGAGAGGCCACCCATCTCCCCACCCGGCCATAGAGAGATAAGAAATGGCATTTGAGTTGGGTGTCCAGGGCCCTGTATGGAGACATTTAAGATGGTGTATGACAGAGCATTGGCCTTGACCAAATGTTAAATTCTCTATGCATATTTCATAAGTTATTACAGGTATAAAAATGATGACCTATCTTGAGGAAATGAAAGTGGCTGATTTGCTGGTAGAATTTTGTACAGTTTAGAGAAGCGATTATTTATTGTGAAACTGTTCTCTACTCCAACTCTTTTATGTGGATCTGTTCCAAGTAGTCACTGTATATACGAATAGATAGGTAGGTATTTTAAATTGCATTCTGAATCCAAACTCATATTCCTTAGAGCTTGAATTACATTTTTAAAATGCATATGTGCTGTTTGGCACCATGGCAAGATGGTATCAGCGAGAAACTCATTCATTGCTCAAACACTCAGAAAGTACTGCCAAAAGCCTAATAAAAAATCTAAAGTTTGCTCTGATTTGTGGATTTTTTTCATCACTGTCTTTATGTGCGTGGTTGCTCGTCGACTTTTCATGGACTTCTGGAGAGGACGGGAAGAAGTTGTGGTTTGGGAAGTGGAATCCATCTAAAGTCAGTTATGGAGCTAGATGAGGGGCTGCCTGAATATTAAGGAAGAAGTGGGGTTTGGGGACCGTTCCAAGAAGACAAAACATTCACAGCAGTCAGGAAGAGAGAAACCTGGGGAGAGTGCTGGTTCTTCCTCCAGACCATTGTGCCTTCCTAGCAATGGGGAGGCTTCCTTGTGGCCCTGCCAGAGATGGCTGTGCAGCCCAGGATTCTAGAGAGAGGGCACTGCTGGGGGGCTCAGGACTCTAGGGAGACACTGCAGGGGAGCTCAGGGTTCTAGGGAGGGGATACTGCAAGGGAGCTGGATTCCAGGAGAGGGCACTGCTGGGGGGCTCAGGATTCTAGGGAGAGGGTGTGGCTGCTGAGTTCTTGATAACCAGAGGCAGCAGTGATCACACCTGCAAGTTTTTAAAGCTTGTAAGACATCTCTGGGGATTGGGGATGTTCCGAAGGAGTGGGGTTTCCTTCATTTTCTTTCTTACTTCCTTTCCTACCTTCTCCACCTGCCTTTTGAATAAAGAATCAGAGACCATCGGAGGCAGGGAATTGGACCAAGACAGGCCCAGCCAGAGAGCAAAGAGAAATTCAAGAAGAGGAGTAGGTTTGATGGCTACCTGATCTGAGAAAACCCGGGAGCCTCTTGTTTTAATTAAAGTCATTTTAGAGAGTTTTGACTTTGATGGATTGAGAGAGTTGGGTTTTTTCCTGCGGGATGTGGGGCAGCACACAGCAGGAGCTGCAGTATTCACTGGAGGCACTAACAGGACCTGGAGTCCAGGAGCCCGCTCAGGTGCCACGGAGGCCCCAAGCAGAGGAGGACAGCCAAGGACTTCCAGGAGCCATGGCAGTCTGAGGCCCAGACATGGCAGGCTTTTCTGGCATCTGGCTGGAGGAATGAAGGGGCAGTCTATGGATTTATGAGCAGGATTGGCTATGGAAATTGTAGGGCCCCTGGCTTAGAAGGATTAAGAACTTCAGATGGTTCATTAAACCACCATGAGCGTCAAGCCCTTCTGAGCCCAGGATCCTGTTCACCTGTGAAGGTTGCCTGCAGCTGAAGCCCAGCAAAAAAGGCTGTGGAGTCTGGAGACCTGGATTTGACACCACGTCCTTTAGGGAAACCAGGTTTAAACTCTCCCAGCCTCAATTTCTTTCTTTTACCTTTTCTTCTCTTTTCTATGTCTTTGTCTATCTGCAAATATCTTTATTTTGAAAATTGTAAGTGATAGTTTTTCTGGGGATAGAATTTTAAGTTGCCAGTAGTAGCCCCTTAGTTGGAGGATGTTACTTCATTGTCTTTTGAGGTCAGTTATTGCTGGTTAGAAATTTTCTCTAAGACCAATCACTCTTCCTTCATGGGTTAATTTCTGGTGGCTTTAATGTTTTTCTCTTTATCCTAGACATTCTGCAGTTTCAGTATAAGGTGTCCAGGCAGGTCTTTCCATTCAATTTATACCAGTTAGAATTGGTTTGACTTTTCAATTGAAGGACCTCTCTCCCCTACTTGTTTCAGGAAGACTTAGTGTTCTCCTCCAACGTTGCCACTCCACTGTTCTCTGGCATCTCTGGAGTGCCTGTTTAAACTTTACTTAAAGTGCCTATTTTCTCCATTTCTCCTTTGCCTGCATATGTTGATATTTTCTTTTTTCCCCTATTTTTGAGTCTGAGTTTAGTATTGAAAACCCGGGGCTGTCATTAGAGACTGTTGTGGATTATCAAGGGGGGATATTTCTCCGGGAAGCTTGTTCCTGACTGTCAGTCAATCCATGGTGGTTCCTAGGATCTCTCCTTGCACAAGATGTGTGTGAGGAGCCCAGGACACACACGAATAAGTCTCCAATTTGTTCAAAGCACATGCCATCGTTTTAAGCCCTCAACATAATTCCATGATGTCTGTATTCTTCATGTCCTCATTTTACGGATTATGAGGAAAACTGGGGCACACAGGGGTTACCAGCCTATGGCCACATAGCTAGAAATCGGTCCTCACCTGAACACATTGTGCCTACCTGTACTACTGTATAATTAGTTAATGGCAGGTGATGGTGAGGAATGAAGGCTCAGAATAATTTTATGGAGAAGGTATTTTTAATTAAAACATTGAACAAGTAAAACTCTTTGATTGAAAAATTGAAACTATGAAAACATTCTATGTAGGGACTTCTTGACCCCTCCCTGTCCTGTCCACCCTGCCTCACCTCCACCCCCAGATAACCACTATCACTACTGTCTGGAGTACCTTTTCATCTTGCATTGCGTGAGTAGGAGCAAACAGGAACATGTGGTCTTGCTTCTCACTACTTTCTCACGCAAGTTGGCCTGTAACACTGTTTTCCTCCGACACCACGTCTGCCACCGAGGGTGTGGGTTTTTTTTCCTGACACCAAATACATGTTGTTTCCCACACCAGCTATCCAGTTCTACAACACCAACCGAGTGTCCAACAACTGAACCCAATTCTGACTTTATCTACATGGAGTTAGCATCACAGCCAGCAAGCTAAGGTCTCAATCCTGCAAGACTCTCCCTACTTCAGACACCAGCCACACAAGTGGGGTTCCCAGCTGATCCACATTTCTTCCCAGCCTACTATAAATTTGGGGATTCCATCAGCTAAGCGATACCCCCATGTTTGAGAACCCATCAGAACAATCCTCAGAACTCAGGGAACTACTGTGTGTACAACTTCAGCTTTACTATAAAGAGTGTGACCCAGGAACAGCCCCATGGAAAACAGGCAGAGAATAAGGTACTGGGAGAGGAGGTTTCCAGCCTCCAGTACATCCGCGTGTTCGCCAATGTCGAAGCTCCCTGAACTTACTTAAGGCTTCTTTATGGCAGTTTTGTTACCTAGGCCTGATTGATTAAATCATTGGCAATTGGTGACTGAACTCAAGCCCAGAGGTCAGGGGATGGAACAGAAAGTCCAAGGGCAGGGAGAGAGCTTTGTCCCCAGTTACTCCTATGCAAGTGCTGGCTCCATTGTGATTGGGCCAGCGTGGGTACTGTGTCCGTCCTGAGCTAATCATTGGGCTTGAAGGTTACCGTGTAAGGAGTGGCCTAGGCTCTCATACTCAGCTTTTGGACCCAAAGGAAGTTTGGATGCTTTTCCCAGAGGAAGGGAAAATGGATAATGAGCAGCAAAACCCATCAAGGGCCCATGGCAGGTACCTGGTAACCCAAGAGCCTTGATTAGGACACTGTGCCTGTCTAGAATTACGTGGATTAAATGCTTCTTCCAAGAGAAGCCATGGATGGTTTCCATCAGTTTCCAGCCTCCAATATGAAATGCATCTCAACAGGCTTATTCAGATACTTCTTCCCAACCATTCACATTATCCATGTTTCTCACTAGAGAAGACCTGGTGACATCTTCTTTTATTTCTCTCTATAACCTGTGATCCAGCAAACAGCCTAATGTTGTAAGTAGGGGAAAGAGATGATTTTTTTTTTTGAGACGGAGTCTCGCTTTGTCGCCCAGGCTGGAGTGCAGTGGCACGATCTCAGCTCACTGCAAGCTCCACCTCCCAGGTTCACGCCATTCTCCTGCCTCAGCCTCCCGAGTAGCCTGCCACTACGCCTGGCTAATTTTTTGTATTTTTAGTAGAGACAGAGTTTCACCGTGTCAGCCAGGATGGTCTCAATCTCCTGACCTAGTGATCCGCCTGCCTTGGCCTCCCAAAGTGCTGGGATTACAGGCGTGAGCCACCGCACCCGGCTGAAAGAGATGATTTAATGGGAAAATTGCATTCTGTTTTTGAAAGTGTCAGAGGAGACTTCCTTCCAAATCACAATGCAACAACAAGCCAGTGGCCAGTGAGCGAGTGACATCATGACAGGGATGCCCAAGAAATTATTATCACAACCATATCCCAGTCATACCTGAGGTCAGAGTATCTGGAGTTCAAAAGTTCAACCTTAAATATCTTAAGTATGCATTCACTTGGTTGCTAGGATCAAAAACCAGGGGAACCTTCTTCCTGGTAATTAATTGATTAACCTTGGGACCTGGAATCAGGGAGCCCTACTTATAGGTATAAGTTTCAGATAAGGAAACACCAGCCTGCATTGGAATTGCTATTGGACATGTTCCAAAGTGATTTAATAACAGAGGTACTTCCTAGTCGTTCGGGCAGCTTTAGATATGACTCGAGTTTAGAACTGTGGTGGGTGAGCCTTTTCTCTTGGTAAATATTAAGTCAGCATTAAAAGAAAAAAAAAAGCCAGTTCTTAAGAATCTCCTGTTTCCCAAGCACTTAAGTCGAAGTGAGGGTAACTCCTTCACAGGGCTATGAGGCCTTCCATAATCTGGCCCTTGTTCATCTCTACAGGCTCATGGCACCCGACTGCTCCTGAAACTCCAGCCACACAAGGCTCCTTGCAGCTGCCGGAATTCCTATCCACCTTGTAACCTTCAATTAGACTGTTTTTCTGCCTAGAATGCTCTTCTTTCCTCCCCTGCTACCTCCACATCCCCTGGCTAGCATAGATTCCGTCCCCTCCTGGTCTGGGTCCAGCCTCTTCATGGCTCTGTGTTTGATAGCATTTATCACAGGATGGCATGGCAGGCCATCGCCCACTGTCCAGTCTCAGAGCAGAGCCACACAGAAGCACAGTCCAGGCACCAAAAGGCAACTTGGAGGCTCTACTTAATCTCCCACATCCTGCGAAGGGAGCATGATCCATGCTTTGTAAAATTTTCCCGTTTTCTCTCTTGCTTGCTTCCTTCACCCCTGCAGCTGCTGCCACCTCTCTCTTGACACCTTCGTAACCATGTCTTGCACAATCCTACTGGAGAGCCTCTTGTCCTCAGCTCCTTTCCCCAATTCTACCTCCCGGAGGGTCTGGAGAACTGGCCCAGTGTGTAGAGATCCTCTGGGGTGGTGAGGA